TACTATCGAAACCAGATACATATATTTTCGTGGACCCCTACTTACACCCATATTTTTCACACCAACGTACACCCGGTCGAGTCTCCCGCGGAATCCTAGTGGTCCACCTGGACCACTTTGGGAATCACCGGGCTAAACCATTTAAATATGAAAATTGAATATTCAAAAAATTTTATTTCTTCCGCCGAAATTACGTATTTTGGCTGACACACTCGGAAGCAGCTTCGTGCTAATACCATGATGTCCTCTGTTTATGTTTCTAAGGAGTGTATGCAAATCGTTTTGGCTTTGACAACTCAAAGATACGCATCATCTTATGCCTGTGAAAGGACTGGTCGGTTGATCTACTAGAATGCTCACTTGCTGGTTTGATTTTTCGCTCCACTTGGTTATTACATATATATGTAGAAATGTATGTAAATATGTACATATCTAGATACTTGTATATGCATACAAATGAACGAAGAGCTTTGTCGTTTTACGGCACTTTGAAATTCAAATACTGCAAATTTGTTTACAATTGAGAGCATTTGATTGCAAATTTTGCTTATTCAACTCAACTTTAATTGAATATTTAATTTACATATGGGGTATTCCATCGTCACGGGTGGGACATTTGTACAGCAAAAATAGTTTTTCTTTTTTAATTTAAGTATAAAGTACTAAGCAATTCTACATTTTGATAAAGCTACACCTAGTTCACTAATATACGAGTTATTACCAAATACGAAAAATATTCCAACTTGATTTTATATTGGAAAATTCTGAGCTGTTTCTTCCGTCACGGGTAGGACAAAGAAAATACACTGCTTTTTGGAGAACATATATTTTAAGGAAAGTCTGTGAATTTACTTAACATTTCTATCTGGATTAGATGTTTTACTATACAGAAAAGAACCAGCAATCCCAACAAAGCACAAACCATAATAAGAATTATTTGTTTATTATTAAAAAATTCAAAATTCTCCTGTCACGGGTGGGACAACTTTTGTCACGGGTGGGACACGTACGATTTTCTTCATGAAAGGAAGCTTCTAGTGAGATCCATATCAAAGAGATTAGGTATGATAAATGTTAGAGGTCAAATACAAGATCAATTGACCTACTTTTATGACAGTGGAGTCATTGTAAGACGCACGATATACTGCTGACCCCAGGATCTATTTTAGGGGCAATAGTTATACCAAACGAAAGCTAGAAGTCGCCAGATTGATGTATTAAAATGCATGGAAGAAAGGATTATTTGCAAAGGCATGAAATTTTATATGCATTTTCCTAATGCACTTCTGCACGGTGCATTTGATTGCAACGAAATTTCGAATGTGCCTTAATGATTTTCAAGTTTGTTTAGAATAGCTATGTATGTCTGACTAATACTAACTACAGGCTAAACATGTATATCGACTACTGTTATCACGTCGATAGAGATGTCTAACCTGCTGTTAGTGTTGACCAGACATTGAGTAACCGGCTTAAGAGTGGCTCGAGTTGAGTTATTGTTGGGAACTGATTTCATGGACAAATCATGCTCAAATTTAGCTATTCCTTAAAACCATAGAACGTCAGAAAAGATCTTGTGTATCGATGTCTAATCCGAAAAGTTATCTGCATTAGAATACTTGTAAGCAGATACATATGTATATCTTTGTCACTTAAAGGCTATTTATTGGATTGAATTTATAAGTTTCGCGAACTTCTAGATTTTCTTGGTTGGAACTTTTCAGGTAATTGTTAATATTGACTTTTAATTGTTGTTAAGCAACCCTCATCATAGAATTCTCTGGCGTCTCTAAGATAGTAATGCTTATCTTGACTTTTCGAGCTGGCCACGCGAAATTTTTTACTACATCGCTTAGCCCACCAACAGTATTATGGTGTTTAGTCAACCTGTACTTCAGAGTTTTGTGGCATTAAACATAGGTTTGAAACGTTAAACTTATTTTTTTATTGTTAGGCATCATTAGAAAAAAATTATAAATGATTGTCACGGGCGGGACACGATAAAACGTTTCAAAATCTCTTAAGTAGGTACTTATAATATAATAAAAGAAATGAAATAGGGCTGCTTAGTATAAACACACTCTAGTTATGAAATTATAGAAAACTCCCTAAAGTAGTAACTAAGCAATACGAAGTTTAAAACTTTTTAGTCACGGGTTGGACATGCTAAACCGTAGTGATTTTATCCTATTATATAATTTAAATGCCTATTTTTCTTCAATGCCATATTGCTTCTTCGGGGCGCAGAAAGATCGAGACATTTATTCCCCCCTTCAAAAAAATAATAACTTTGTGAATACTTGATTTTGCAGAGCCTTCTATATTAAAATATGTTGTCGTATTCAACTACTTTTCTTATGTTGAAGTTTTGAGTGTATTTACAGTGTAATAAAATAATATAACTAAATTTTTTTTCGAAAAAACGTTAATTTCAGGTATTGAGCATTGATTCATCAAGCATTCCATGTTCAATAAGCTACTCTACAATTGGACACAAAGTTTCACTTACTCATGGAATACCCCATATGTAAATTGTTGCCTGACAGTATTTAGTTTTGGTCATTTTAATAATTCCATTATTTTTGCTATTCAAAACTTATTTGACATGCAAATTTAATAACATATGAATTGCTCGTAAATAAATGATTAGCATGGATTGAAAAAATATGCCCACATGTTCCATGCAATCATTGCAATTTTTGAAGCTATTTAACTGGTATGTATAATACATTTTTATTTATATTTGTATTCGTTAATTAAATATTTGCCTAGTAAGGGGGCGGGCGCAACATCCTTATTCTTTACGCATTTATGCCATATGTGTTTTTAGTGCTTGGAAAAAGGACCGCACTTAAAGCTGAGCACTAAGAACGGCAGCAGACACTAAATATACATATATACATAGTCGTCACTCCAAAAAGAATTTTTTTATTTAAAGATTTTTGTCCAACATTTTCACCAGCGGTACATAATCATGACTACCAGTAAGTAACACACTTATTTGCTCTGCTTTGGTATTTTGGACGCCATTCCATTGCAGCTGTGTAAGCTTCTCGGTTCTGAGTTTATCCAGCATGAATTCACGACGAATGCAACGTTTCAGCTTCCGATCGTCTATCTTCGAAGCAACCGATTACCGCAAAACAAATGCAAGCCATATTTTTCATATCCAGCAGCTGTGAATGGAATATAATTTATAAGAAAATCGACTCCGTCATCATCGGCGGGCTTATCTTATCCACAGCTTTCAGCGCTGCTACCTTTCATGAGGTTGGAAAAGGGTTTCCTCCATAATGTAAGTACGTTCTGGAAATCAGTCTCAGAGTCTCTCTCCCACCACAAATCTGACACCGAATTTGCGCTCCTTTAGATGGCAGCTGTAGTAGATGTTGCAAGGCATTTCTTGCCCGTCCAACGAATTTCTTAGATATTGGTGAACATACGCTGCAGACTTCAGTGAGCCCTTAACCGAATAATTCGAAGCTCCCTCTCTTTCTGCCGTAACCCAACGCTCCACTTGGATTGGTTACCGCATCTCGCATATGGGTTGCTCATTGAGTATAGTCGTGCAACTGTAACATACCCAGCACAACGATACATACAGGACATGAAAAAAACATCCACATATACAAGTATAGAGAGTGTCCTAGAGCACCCATATTGAAAACCGCAAAAATTTTACCTACTAGATCGGGGATGCTCTATGTTTTGGTGGTATTACCGACTTCCGTTTTAGACCGGTCGAAACCGGAGTTGGAAATATCACCAAAAAAAAGCTTCCCCGATTTAGTAGGTAAAATTTTTCGTTACGTAATATGTCCTTTACCGCCTGTCACAAAAAAAAAAAGCATTTAATTAGGTTAAAGAATTTGTGAGAAAATCATTTAAAAGTGAATGTGAGTTACTCTAAAATAAAACAAATTTAATTGTGATCTGACATAAGGATTATAAAGGATTACATATATAATGAAATGAAAAGACACTAAAAGTGGTAAAAGCTTATTATTTCTTAAAAAATTTGTAGCTTCAATGCAATGTTATTAATATACATGAAAAAATAAAAAAATTTTTTCTGTATGAATCCAAATTCAACACCAAAATTGCGAAACAAATGTCTGACGTAATCGAATGATTAATAACCTCGATCATAGTTTGAAACCTGATTGGATTTAAATTTGTCTTAAGAGTGCTGCTTCACACTAGGTGTTTCAGATATTCAGCCCTTTTCAGCTTTTTAAGCACATTTAAGTATATTTGAATACAGTGCGGAAAAGTCGAAAAGACCTAAAACACCTGGTCTAGAATTCTACTCTAAATGCAATTGACTTGCAATAAACGTAGCTTGACTTACTTCACAATACCGAACCGACCCCTGCACCAACTACTCATACACATTTTCCATAGCATCTGCAATATGCCCTTTTCTATTTCAATTTATAACTAGCACATTTTGCGTCCGATGCAGTTATGAATTAGACAAAGTGACTTAAGCTTCCTGGCACACTTGGCAAGCGGTGACAAGCGTTCCGCTCAATGCTTTTCAAAGGCAATTCTTTTTACTTTAGGGCAATAAAGTTGCCTTAATGAGCTCAATAACTCACTGCAAAATGATGTGTGTGTGTCTGTGTACACTTAACTGCATACCTCTATGTATTTGCCAACAACTGCAAAAATATTACTATCATCAATAGAACCGAACCTCTCGAATGCACAGCAAGTAGTAGTTCTTTATTTCTACATTTCTCCCCCTCCCCTTCAAGTTTTTGCTGTGACTGCAATTCGCATTCATGCGACATCATTGTGCGCTGTAAACCCAGTTTACTCCCTTTGAATGGTTGCATTGCAGTTTTGCTTTGATTTATCTAAAACTTTATTGCTAATACTTACTTTTAGATTTTTATCGTACTTTTTCGATCATTTAATACGCACATAAACGTACCTTTAATATTTTTTTGTGAGTCACATATTTATCTGTTTGTTTTCTACTTTTATATTTGCAGTGAACTTCACAAATAAAGCTCAAATATGGTGATAAGCAATCCAGATGCTGTGGCCGCCGCCACCACCACAAATAATGCTGGTGGCGAGGCGGGCAGCATAGCGCATCCATCGGGTATTCCACGAGATAGAATAGATAATATAATGAGCGGTATAGCGAATACGGGCGATGTGAAAATGAATAACCACCGAAAGAAGTTGCGTCAAAGGTGAGTTTGTTTGTTGATCTAGCTTTTTGGCTTATTATATCCAGTGTTGGTTAAGTAAATTTCTATGATGATAAAAAAGTTTTACCTTTACGAGTAAAATCGAAATTTATGACTTTTTTATGTTTCCTAATTTTTAGATTCGATATTATTAAAAAGTTAGGTCAAGGCACATACGGTAAAGTGCAATTAGGTATAAATAAGGAAACCGGCCAGGAGGTGGCTATAAAAACCATAAAAAAGTGCAAAATAGAAGCTGAGGCGGATTTGGTGCGCATACGACGTGAGGTGCAAATTATGAGCTCCGTACAGCATCCTAATATTATACACATTTATGAAGGTAAGTTTGAAATTATTTTTATGAAGAACTTATTGCTAACATTAATATCCCTTTCATAAAAATGTGTAGGAACATTATGTTTTTAAATTTTTTTTTTGCTGAAAACAGGTTTTGTGGTGTGCGTTAATCACCACAAGACCACGGAACTTAAAATATGTATGTATGTATGTAAGAACCAACCTTACTCCTTGCTGAAAATAGAGGCATGTGTTGTTGTTGTTGTAGCGGTTACTTAGCCCTGCCAGGATGTGTTCTACTCCAAATGGGTTGGCCCAAAGGGCGAGGGCCGTTAGTTGAGTGGGGTTTAGGGGGCATGTGAAGATGTGTTACGAGTCATGAGGTGACTCTCCGCATGCCTGGCACTTACTGGGCACATCTGTATTTATTCTGCTCAGTTAGGACTTCAGCCTGCTGCAGTATCCAGCGCGAAGTTGAGCTATGGTGGTGTGAGCCTCGTCCACGGACTGCATTCACAGGTCGGTAGTCCATGTGAGTCGAGACCGACTCCCTGCGAATGCCGTTTATGGCCTGTCGTTACGCTGTTGGGTCCAGAGGTTGGTTTATGAACTTCTAGTTCGGTTAGATGTCTTTTGACATGATCCTGCGTCCTGATAGTCCCCGGCAACCACACGGGCGCTGCATAGTTTCGAACCAGCCGGAAAATTACTTTGTATGTTGCCAGCAACGTTTCTTTGTCTTTGCCCCAGGTGCTGCCGGCTAGCGGCTTGAGGACCTTGTTGCGCGGCTCTCTACTCTATTGACAATTGCGGTTGTATGCGCCGGGGAGCAAACTATCGCAGGTAACTGTGAAAATTTTTGGGCTGTTCACTGTCGGAATTGGTGCTCCATCAACATAAATTCCCAGATATAGTCTGACCTCCTTCGTCCAGATGCCTGTGAGAGTTTCGTAATGTAGTATATAATCAGAAGCTAAAGGAATCCCTGTTTTCCGGGTTTTCTGGTTATATCTCTAAAAATTACCGACAAATGTCGACCACTCAAATAATTCGCTGACGACCGTTTGAGTTCCTGTGGGAGAAAGGGATCCTCAATGTCTTCTTATCGCGTGAAGTGGCTGACGGTATCAAACGCCTTTGACAGATGCCCTGCCCTCTCAAAAGCACGGTTTCGATTTAGACCACGAATTATCTGGGTATTTATGGCGTTAAGTGCTGTTGTTGGGCTGTGAACTTTACGAAACGCATGCAAAACTCATCTCAGGGGACAATGTTGAGGATAAAAAGCTGTACACTCACTTACCCTCAGGGTTATACCTCTTAGACCTCTGTTTTCTGGACCATAACTTTTCACACAACTTTAAGTTTTTTTTCGCTAATAAAACCAGCTGAGACAATGAACGACCAACTACCTGGAACAGAAAGATAGCCACAGAAAGCACGCGTGGTTACCAAAACTAGTGTGAAATTGCCTTCAGCTTTCATAATTTTTGTGCCGGGACATAGTATAATCATGGGTAATAAAGTAGCCGATATTCTCGCCAAGACCTGGTCTGGATTCACACATGCAGCACTCTTCATTTGTATGATAAGGAGCTCCGATTAACGAAATTACTATATCTATGTCAATAAGGAATTCTCCATGTCGAAAATATCAATAAGCGGAATCTCCTGATGAGGCGCGACTACTAACACTAAGCGCCTAAATGCATGCTATGCGCTGCTGTATGTGCAAAAATTTGCTTGAGGCGATTTATGAAATATTTTTCATATACACTTCGCACTTACCATATAATAAAACTTTCTTAAGTTATAATTTGATGGAAACTCAAAATATGCTCGGCCTAGTCTGATGGATCCTCCGGGCAATGCTTCTCGTGTTTTTTAGGGTGGTAAATGATGATTACCAGTGACCACAGTGCCTACCCACAATTTTCTGTTCGATTTTTTTTATACAAATATGTGAAAATAACCTTCACTATACAAGGCCCAAAGCAAGAATTGTTACAGATTTTCACACCTGCCACTGCAGGGTAATTTTTTATTACCTGGTCAGTGGAGGTTTTGTCAGTTTGGCAGAGCACATTATATATATATGTCCTATTACTGCAAAGCGATCTCTCGAAGGTCCTTGACGATACGTGGATCCAAGAAGACCCTGTCCTTGATCAAAGTGCACCTAGTCACTTGTTTCCTTATCTAAATAATGGCCTAATATACGTAGGACTCCTCGAGCTTTACACAGGTTATCAGCGGGCTAAACCCCTAGAAAAACTCCTTCAGTTCGCTTCACAAATATATTTTTTTTTAAATATAAAATCCAAGTCTAATCCTTGGTCATTTTATAAACAAAGAAATATGTAGGAAATAATTAAACTTTGGTTGGATTTTTTTCGAAGGGTGACAACGTTGATAATCAAAAATAAAGGAAATCTCTATATATCTTCGTTTTGCTCTATTATTATCTCCTTTCGAGCATCCAAACTTCATTGTAATTAACATAACATAAGTAAATAATATTATGTTTATAGTTTTCTTAATTTTATTTTTTATTTTATTTATTTATTTTTCAAAAAAAAATCAATCTGTTATAAAATGACTTCCTTTCAGTATTCGAGAATCGTGAGAAGATGGTGCTAGTCATGGAATTTGCCGCAGGCGGTGAACTGTATGATTATCTCTCGGAACGTAAGGTGCTCAATGAAGAAGAGGCGCGACGCATATTCCGGCAGGTGGCCACTGCTGTCTACTATTGTCACAAGCACAAAATTTGTCATCGTGATCTGAAATTAGAGAATATACTGCTCGATGAGCATGGCAATGCGAAGGTTAGTTATCCGTGCATTTCACAACTTTCATCTTTAAATAATTTGCTTCGGAAAATCGCTCTTTATCAATGCATAATTTTTAGATTGCCGACTTTGGCCTTTCGAATGTCTTTGACGAACAAAATTTACTCTCCACATTTTGCGGTTCACCGCTTTATGCCTCACCCGAAATTGTTGAAGGTACCCCCTACCAAGGTCCAGAGGTCGACTGCTGGTCCCTTGGTGTACTCCTCTACACTCTAGTCTATGGGTCAATGCCATTTGATGGTTCCAATTTTAAAAGACTTGTTAAGCAAATCAGTCAAGGAGATTACTATGAGCCAAAGAAACCATCGCGTGCCTCATCGCTCATACGTGACATGCTGACGGTGAGTCCACGCAAACGTGCCACCATCGAACAGATTTGCGCTCATTGGTGGGTCAATGAAAATGATAATGTCTCATGTTTGGATTTGGCTGAGGAGTTGGCAACACAGACACCGGTACGTTTGGATGTTTTGTTGTCACTAACACCGGCCGCTATAACGGCCGATCAATTGGTTGTGCCATCCGCTGATGCGGGCAAGGGAGAACGTGTACCAAGAAGTCATTCGGTGGGTTCGATACGTGATATGGGCGGCAATACCGAAGCGGAACGAAGAATATTGGACATGGTTGCTGGTAGGTGATTGATATTTTGTGTTAAGTGTTAGTTTGATATCGTTTCTATTTTCCGATTTTATAAATTTGTTTATAGTAAGTAGTATTTGTATGTATAGTATTTGCAATATCCCGTTGTCTGTAAATAGCTGATAACTGTACTTCCAACCCCTCATTCGCTCTCTTCTTATTAATCACAACCACTTGCACCTTTCCTACAACTGAAACTTATATAAAACTATTAACACTTCCTCAATCTACGAAAATTTTCCACAAATAACCCTACTCTTACAAACATTCAAGCGTACTAAATTTGTGCTTCCATCATTTAACCCATAATTCATTACACCTCCTCTTCTCTCTTTTCTCCACATTTTTTTCCTCATCAGCTGGCGGTGAAGCAGCGCTCATGCCATCACCAACGCGCACAATCACACCCACACATAGTCCAGTGCAGAGTAAACGCAAGCTCGAAACCACCGTCTCCACAGAAAATGCGCATGGAGCCGCCCTGAAGAAGAAGGACAAACCAGGCAGCAGCTCTATGATACTCGGCGAGACCGCAGTGCCATTAACAGAGGAAACGCCCATGGAGATGGAGGAAGATGAGGCCACTCAGAACGCAATTGTCGAGGAGCCCGTTACACCGGCACCACTCAAATCTATGCCATCGGCCAGTTTCTCGCAAAGGGATATGGAAATGGTTGGTGATCTGTGCGAGCAGCTGATCAAAGAAGAACCCAAACCCACGTCGTCTGCACTGATTGAATCCAGCTCTCCTGTGACACCCACACATGCTGGCGTACCGCGTCAAAAAACCCTTGGCAAGTTGGAATCACTGGAAGAGGCGCCTGAGGAAAAGGACGCTACAAAGGTGATTAAGAAGTTTGTAAACAAGCACAAAACAGCCGATCTGGTAAATGCTATCGGCCAAATTACACCCTCAGCTGAGAAATCTAGCGAACAGGCTACGGTTGCATCAACAAAATCCAATAATGCCAAAACAGCGATCGCCAAACCGGCAACTAATACCAACAACGTGACACCCGCGCCATTCGTACGCAAATGTAGTCTTCAGGATGAGGGTTCGTTGAGCAAATTCAATGCCGACCGCCGCAAATCGCGCGTACTCGAAACCACCGAAAAGTTGCAGCAAATGAACACCAGCGGTGGCGCTGAAAAGCCGAAGAAGTTCAGCATACCCGGTGTTAGTGTTGGCAGCTTCAAGAAGGAATTCGAACGCAAAGCAACCAACCCACCCGCACCACAAGGACCTACGCCAGGCGAATTGCGCGCAATGGAAGAGGTGGCAGCCGCAACGGCTGCAGCACAGGAGCTAGAAGCTGGCGAGCAGACACCGCCGATCACACCTGCCGATGATGCCAATGCAGCACAGGCCCAACAGACGTCGCCACCAGCGCCGACAGCGTCGTCGATCGAGGCGAGCGATTCAAAGAATTCAGTTGCTTCGTTGTCGCTAGAAGATGCGCGCCGCTCAATGGAGAACTCAATAGCGCTGCTGCGGCAAGCGCAAAGTGAATCGTCGAAAGAGGTGGATCAACTATGTGCGCAAACCGAAAATATTGAGGTTAGCGAAACCAGTAATCCCGTGGTGGCGGCCGAACGCGAAAGGAAGCTGAAAAATGCGCGCGCCATAATCGGAAATGCCATACAACCAGGTAAGTGTGCGATGAAAAGTGTCATAGCAAAAGTAATAACGCTAACAATAACAAAAAGTGGTAACATACCGGGGCATATAGTATTTATTTGCAAGTAGTAAACTACTTTTAAAGCTTGCGTTGGTGTGCTTGGAATAACGTTAAGGGAGTTCTAACAAAAATTTGCCAAAAAAGTAATTAACACACTTTCCGAGCTTCTTTAATTAGTTAAGGGATTGAAAAAAAGGATTGCTAAAAATAATTAATTTGAATACCATCGCGTTCTAATATTTCAAAAAGGTATTCCAAAATAGTATTTATTCGGAGTCCTTCCGTTGAACTGCCAATTTATGTATATGGCTATGGTGGTCTGCTCGTTGTGATGTTCACGTCCTACACTGTGGGAATTCCAGAGGTCTTGTCATGAAGTTTTCGCACGCCATGGGATAAGTGATTGGATACTTACATATGCACATATATATGTAGGTATAGAAAGCTTAAAGCGTTTATTGAAAAAGCTTTTGAGATACTACAAATGGGGGAATGATTAGTAGCCCACAATATTGCTGAGATATTGGTAATCAAAATTTTGTTAGAACTCCTGAACCGCACAGCATTTGTGGCTTACCGCACGCGCGCTGGCTCAAACCCCAAAAATCTTTTCAAAAATTCATTTGAGTTTTCAAAATTTTCTCTGTCAACGTTTTGGCCAATCAGTCTATATACCATTGAAATAGCTACATATTTTTGAATATAAAAAAATCATTTTATAGTGGTTTGATTTGGCATCCATTCATTAGTTTACATTTTTATACGGACACACACGCACACACACACACACACATTCACTCAGACAGCTCGTACGCTCATTTGCATCATCTCATCACTGGTTCATATATTTTAGTTATACGCAGACCACCATCACAACCATCCTTTGGCATCGGCGGCGGGGGCTACGGTCAAATGCGTGCAGCCAGTGGCAGTTTTATTGGTTTTGGCAGCAGTGGTAGTGGCAGCATAAGCGGCATGGGTGGCGTTGCCGCAGGCATTGGCGCTGTCGGCGGTGGCGGTATTGGTTCCATTGGCGTCAACGTCAAGATCGGAGGTGATAGTGATGGCGTCAGCGGCGGCACCGTTGGCAGCTATGCACAACCGCCCCCAATGTTGGCACAACATACAAGCGCTTTACCTCAGACACCGCCACCTCTGTTGACACCAAATTTAAGTGCAAGTGCAAATGCGAATGCACATACAAAAGCGAATACGAATGTGAACGTGAATGCAAACGCAGCCCTCGCCGCTGCACGGCAACACATAATGGGACGTTTGGCAGCTACAGCTGGTGGTCAGAGTGAATTCCAATCTTCCGCATCTTTGCCGCCTAACTACTTCATACAATCATCTACCTCGTCCAACTCCTTTCCTCAGTTTATTCAGAACAACAGCAACACCAATAAGCACAACAACAACAACAACAGCAATAATATGAACCTACTTCAATACCAATATAATCCCAATTCACACCAACAAAAACAACAACAGCTATCTCAGTACCAACACACTAACTCATCGCAACAGGCGACACAGAATCAACTTTTGCAATTCCAACAAAGACTACAACAATTACAACAACAAAGACAGAGACATCATCAAGCGCTTTTAGAGCAGCGAGCAGAAATACAACAACAACATCAAGAACAACAACATCAAGAACAACAACATCTAATATACCCAAAACATGCGCTATCACAACAACCATTGCATCAATACCAATCCAAACAAGCTCACAGCATGTCAATGCCACACACACTTGCCGCATCTGCCACTGCCACTGCTGCCAACGTCAAAAGTACCGCCATCTCCTCCACAGCCGCCAACGCGAATAGTGTGCCAAAACCGTTTTATAATGCACCACCTCCTTCGATATTCTACAAATGTAAGTTTAGTTGTCGTTCGTTCGTTCTCCCGTTCGTTTGTTCGTTTCTTAGTTCGTTAGCTGGTTCGCTCGTACTTTCTTACATCGTTTTTTTTTTTCAGTTCTGTTTTTCTATTTAAGTTTCTTTTGTTTCCTTTTCGAAAGAATTCTAAATTATTATTTCCAAAATTGTATTGTAATTTGCTGTTTGTTTTTTCTTTTGGTTTGTTGCTTCTTTTTGTTGATCCATGTATGTACGTAGTCTTCATACCTCTCATACTCGTATAAATAGACGTTTCTGTAGAGCTTTGCGAAACACAAACTGGATGCATGAGTACACACATCCAGAACGCTAATAAGTAAATATTAGAAACTAGGTGATGATATGTATAATTTGGTAGTTTACTTTGATCTTGCAAGGCACTTTGGGATAATTTAATAAACTAAATATTTTGACTATTGTTTTTTTTTTTAGTGAAGTATCCACATAATATGTATGTATGTTTATATGTACATGCTATAGGAATGTTTTGATGTATATCTTCGTTTACACGGCATCTCGAAAATTTCTTCCGCATAGGAATATTTTTTTCCATAGACCGTACCTAGTAATCACAGACATCAATAACTTTTAATCAACTATATTCTTTTAATATCCCGAAGAAGAGGAGCCAATAATTTTAGCTTTTATTTTTTTATTCGGTTTTATTTCCTCTTCTTCAAATCTAGTAACTGAAATCCCTTACTGTTGAGCCATTGATATGAAATTTGGTTCATACTTTAAGTTCTGATGACAACACAATCTTGTAGTATCTTCAGTATTATTGTACGTCCAAGATGGCCGCCGCCACAAAATGGCGGATTACATATTTTTTATAACTAAATGCGGGTATCAAATGAAAAGGCCTTGACTAAATAGTAGAATACAACACACTATAAAAAACTCGAAATTCAAGAAGGCCGCGATTACAAATTTTATTAGATGAAAAGGCTTGACTAGCAGAAAGCAGTACACCATGAAAGAGTTCACAATCTAAGATGACCCCCCGACAAAATGTCGGATGACATTTCTTTTTTCAATTCCCTGTGTTAGGGTATCAATTGAAAGGGGTTGGACTAGTAGAATACAGTACACCATTAACAAATTCGAAATCCAAGATGGACACTACTACAAAATGGCGAATAACGTACTTTTTTCAATCCTCTAAACATTGCTATCAAATTAAAGGGCTTGACGAGTAGAAAGCCGGACATTTCAGAAAAATGGCGTCCCTAAAAAAAGAGCGGATGATTGAGTTTAGGCAATCAATGCATCAAAACTGAAATCTAGGTATCTAATCAAAACAAAAGATTAGTCAACTTAGCATCGTAATTCAAGCATGAATCCCCCACGAACTCAAGATTTCGTATCGTCTCGAGGACTGGGTGGTTAGGAATTTAGGTAAAAGGTTAACGCTTAGACATTAGGTTGGACAATAAAGTGGCTAATTAAAACACCAAATCCTTGAAAGTTTAAGTTAAACGGTTAAACGTAAAAAAGTATAATAATGGTTGCAAAACTTGTTGACGGAGAAAGTTTCGATTGTTATTTACGTGAATTGAAATAATAAAATTTTACAAAAATGTAAGTAAAGCCCACCGTATGCTTTTGTGTAACTCATCATAAATAAATTTGGTAAATTTTTGTTTTCGTGATGTTTTTCTGTGGAATTTACAAGTCCAAAAGAACAACATGAATACAATATTAAAAATTGGCAGGGATTTTAAAAGCGACCCAAAAAGGAAGTGCAGGCATTTTGGATTGCTTGAACATTCTTATATGTATGTATAGTACCAACGCAAATTATGACCCCTGTGAGCCAGCCTTTGCATAAAATTCCGGTTTTGCTTGTATTTTATCTTTTTTACTCTGTTAAAATTTTATTTATTATTTTACTTGGTTAAGCGGTGATACAGATGTCAAGGCATTTGACTAAGTTTCTTGTTCACAAGTATCGAAGCCGTACCTGAAAGCATCCTTATTAAATCGAAAGTTGTTTTTGAATCTAAAATTGTTAACCACTTATATTAAGATTTAGCACTTTAAAGATACATTTCTAAAGGCAGTGTCACACAATTGGTACATTTATAGAGATTTGTATATCTTTTATATTGGGCTATTGGTACAAAATGAAAAAATTGGAACGACAATTCTTCTATTGAAAAATTTGAATTTTTTTTTTTGTTATTGGGACAAGGAAAAGTACATGTGCATTCACACTACTGAGATACGATTTGTACCAAACTTTGGGCAAATGCCCAATCGTGTGATACAGCCTTAACAATTCTTCACTCATCCGAAATGGATCAAACTCTTATCACTTAATCTCCGCCCTTCAACTTTAACCTCGGAATTCCGGGATACTTTTTACTCAACTTCAAGCAATAACCGCCGCGGCTATTGATTCCATTCTTATAATTATATTCCCACTAAAATTTAGGATAAACGAAATTTTATTTTTGTGTTACAATGATGTAAAATAAATTTGGTTATTTTAAAATATGTATATACAAATTTTAACTTCTAAGCTGCTATAATTCCACGGCAAATATTAGTTCTGTTCGTTATGCCAGTAAGAATTAGCCAGTAACAAAATTCAGAGAATGAGGTATCTTACTCTCCCAAAGAGAGAAACTTTCCGCGAACTGGAAGTAGCAAACATTTGCAAGCTTCGTGGCGTCCACGTTTGCATTTCGAACATAATAAATTTTTTAAATTGTTTCAAACAAACAAAACAGGACCTATATGTATGTATATTTCTTCTTATTATGACTTTCTTTAACAAACGCTTCATTTTCTTTGTGGAAGTCACTGTCGGATTTCCTATATCGACAGCGGTGTCGACTGCGTTCCGATTACGAATAAAGCTTTTTATGCTGTGTGCGTTTGGTATTAATTGAATTAATTGAAAAAATCATTTCATTAGTAAATCGACACAAGATTGTTAATTTTTAAATTTAACGAGCTTGTTGATTCAAATTAATGTTGACAAAAATGCAACCGCGTGCCACAATCCTGCTGGCAAATTCTTGCTGGCAAAAATTTTCCCAGCATGAGTTTGCTACTTCCCCTCTAAATAAAATGTCAAAATTGTGCTCTCTCCTTGCAAGTTTCACTAGTTTTTTGGGCAAACGAACACGGTTTGGTAACAATTGGTATCAACTTGTACAAGTTTTTTGCATAGCGAACACTCTAATTTTTTTTTGTTTTATTTCAATTTCACACATTCCGAGATATACAGCTGATTTCGAAAATATTTTCTCTCTCCCTCTTCTTCTTTCGATTAAATCGTAACTCAGAAAACCGAATTCCGCTTGTGGCGGAACGCAACTAGTCTCTTAACTCCTAACAAATCTCAAGAATTCGCGAAAAATTCCGTATCCACTTGAATAAATAAATACATTTATTAATTGTATTTGAGTTTGGGGCAGTTTCAGTTTACATAGGATTTCTGCTTTCGAGGTCAAAATTTATAGTTATGAGGTGATCATAGTCTACAATGGGAGAGGATTCTAATGGCACCTTCGAAATTTCTAAATAAAATTTGTTTACTGGTCGAAAACGAGCAGACATTTTTAAGAATTATCAAAAGTTAAAGTCTCACACCAAATTGTTTCATAACACTGGAAATAAGTATGTATGAGCGTCTTATTGCTTCCCTAAGGACATCAATAAGAATTTTTCAATGAGGCATCGCCCTCCGATTTCCTTTTTTAAAATTTTTTTTTAATTTTTCGTTGCTTAATAACTGCAAATATTAGGTCCATTCTTTTGCAACCAAGCTACAAAAGAACACTCGCTTAAATGACGAAATACACGCAAAGCAACAACAAAAACTCGACTATTTATCCGAGTTCTGTCAGGTCGGTTAAAAAATACGCGACCCGAAGAGTAGTGTTGTTAAGTGAAAAAACTGCTCTATTGTGAATTGTTACTGCGAAATTGAAGAGGGAAATTTTTGTTTTCATATATACATGATTTATATTTTAAATAAGTATATATATTATGCAAATACTTCGCAGCTACCAGCAGGGTTGCTTAAGCAGCTAAAAGGAAATTTTACCCGAGTTGAGCGTTCTTTTGTCGCTCGCTTACAAAAAAATACAGCTATTATAGTCGTTAGATTGTCTTGAGATAAACTGATAAAAAAGAGTCTATCTTCTTTTATTTCGCACTAAATTACGCTAATTATAATACTAAACGAAAGCCAACGCCCTCTACCTGTTCTTTCGGATTCCGAGTTGAATACTTTCAGGGCTGGAGCGTTCCATCGTCTATTCGCCGTTGTTTTTAAATAATTTGTGGATCATCTTTTTTCTACGAAGTTTTAGCTTCATTATTGCCCACATATATATGTGCATTCAATCGGATTCGTAGCTGGGAACTGCGAGAGCCAAACAACACGGTTATGTCGCATTCTTGTTTCCAATTGTTACACCAGCGATCTCAGATGTTTCGGATCTTCAAAAAGCCATTAGTTTTCCCTAGCCCTAACCATTTATCCGTTAATAGTAAAAGTCTACTATGGTATTTTGTGGTCATGCAGTTGGTATCCAAATGGCTCCAGCAGCTTGCTGCCTTTAGCGGACAAGTCACGCTTAATGGTGTTCTTTCCTCAAAGGGAGAACTATTCTGTGGTCCAAACATCACCTGTACATTCAGTCGCCCCATAAATGATGTATCTTTTATATTTGTGAGATTTTCAATCCTTAAGACGGTTTCTTATTGTGTTTCGAGCGCCTTTGAGCCAGAACAGATTTTAACGATATGGCTGGTTTAGCTTCGAAAATCGCCCTTAATATCAAATCATTTTATCTTGAGTTAGCTCTCCAAATACCGCGATTTGGAAAGTCCACATTTTTATGCACCAAATAGTAAAGGTTCCAATACTGGGCTGGACGCCTTCGACTTTCTGATGTAATTGGCACTACTCAAGTGGTACATCTCAGGTATTTTTTAAAATGTTTTGCGTATAATTTCTAAAATATGTGTGGTTTTTTTGTCAACAGCGTATAAAGGCATAGACAGACGTCAGCGCTGATCCGGTTCAACTCGTTAATTCGCAATTATCTCGCAGTCTTAGACTTAAATTTTAAAATTAGTGCGGATCTGGGGCATTTTCCATGAAAAACAAAGCACGTGCACTCAGCACGTCCGCCGTAGCCGAGTGGTTAGAACAGTTTACTAAAACTCAGTAGAGCGCTATATTTATTTAAAATTTAAATTAATTTAATTTTTTTTTGTGGTACTACATAAATAATTATTTCTAGTTAATTTAGTTGTTTATAGTTTAATTTTAATAAAAAACGCCACACAACTTATAATTACATTGGAAAATAATAATTGAATAATTTTAACTAAAAATTGCTGACACGACCTCCTCGCAGCTCCGTTAATCTGTCTGTCAGGGAATAATCCGGATTAACGTTGCTGTCTGTATATCCTACAACTGATCGCTTTTTACTTTTATGTTGCGCAATAGGCAATGAAATCTAGCTTTTTGAAAATACAGTCGTACTTGATACATACGTATAAGAAGTATGTACCTAGTTATATAAAAAAAAACATTCCAATGGTTTCTTGTAAGCATTGCACGACAGCGATTCTGCTGCGACATAATATCGCATGCGTATCGGCCGTGCGGCACGGATCACACCGCACATGGTATCGCGTATCGTATCATATATCGTGTCGGTCTAATGTGCACCGTGCCTTACAATTGTTCACAGTTTACCTGCACATGTACGTTGTTCCAAAAATGGCCAAATTGTGTACTTGTGTGTTTGTCTGGTTCAGATCTCTTCCTTAGTTAATGTTTGTTCGTGCGAATGTAAAGCTAAATTTTTGTCTTCAATTAGCTCTAAATAACCCATATTTACATATGTATGCATTTTTTATGTAACTAAAATTGGTATGCACCCTTTTTTTGCAAATGTTAACTTCTCAGCAGCCGTTGGTAAACAGTTACTTAGGTTAGTAATTTTTTATGGAGTTCGAAAAAACCACAAAAACAATTTTCAGCAAAATCAAGCCTGTTCGCCTCGTTGATTTAACGCCCATTCCATCCAATTGTTTTCTTCATGTCGCTTTTTTCATGTTCATAACTAATCATAGCATAGCATTTTTGCATACATTACCACCCACCAACGCCCTCTTACTCCTCGGCATAGCGCATATTCATTTAAAACTAAATCGAATGATGTATCTTATTTCCACTTTTCTACTTTTTTTTCTTCACCCGACAGCATCACCAGGTGGCGAACCGAATAACAACGTTAAGACTTCCACCGCTACCATAACACTAAAATCAGCCACATTGCCGCGCCGTAAGCCAACCGCCAAAACGGAAATTCAACTAGAAATAAAACCACGTATTGTCGAACAACCGAATATGCGTTTCACTACGGAAATGCAACATCCTGTCGCCGATTTGCGTAGCGCGCCCGCACGCGAAGGACCAGCACCATACAGTCCCATCAAGACGATGCTGAATGCACGCGCCACCAGTTTAGAACCAAAGGAGCACATTATACCTATACAAAGGCCACAAGCGCCATATACGCGTACCACCTCAAATACAACAACAAGGTATGTTGGTTTAATACATTTTTTTTTTCTTTCTAACTTTATGCTCTTCTACAATTTTTTTGCGTTTCTCCCTCAAGGTCCGGTTCGTTGTCTCGACAATCTACAAACGATTCAGAATCTGATACAACAACAACTGCAAATATGTCACAATCCACTGTAACAGGCTCTTCGCAGCCAATAAAGAAGAGTCCACGCGAATTCATTATACCAATTGCGATGGAGGGCGGTGGCTTCATAACACCGCGCGAGGGCAGCATTGAACCTTCGGAGTCTAGTCATACAGCCTCGAGTCGATCGGCATTCAATCGGTTGCGGCCAACTCGACGCATTGGGTGCGAATTAAACTTAATGTTTTATGTAATATAAAAAATTAATTTAATTATAATGAATTTCTCTAAACAGTAGCTCACTACTTAACGATTCTGGCATCGACGAAAATTCGCCATTCCAGAAATTCCGCACGTCGTCCGGCAATAGAGAAGGCGATGAGGAGCCGCGTTTCACGCTGCACAGATTAAGGTGAGTTAGTGGATTGTAATAAATACTAAATAAGTTATTTCAAATTAAATAAATTTATTCATTACAGAAGCTCAAGACCAGTTAAGAAACTGAGTCAGGAAAACGATTCACAAAGTTCCGGCGAAGAAGATGACGATGACGGCTTTGAAATTTTAACCGCAGAAAATCTCTTCTCCACATTACTACAACGAGTATATAGCATCAAATTGATTCATATAGAAATTTTATTATACATACTTTTCTTTTTTATGCAATTTCAGGTGCATGCACTAACACATCGCATGAATGTTGATAAAGATTTAACTGCAGGTTTTCCAAACTCAAGTCGCCTGCTCAGCAATATGCGACATGGCCCCTTTTGGAATCAAGAACCTTTTGGCAGGTGAGTTTTTTTTTAGCTGCAGTACTTAAGATGACTTATAAAATTTAAGCAGATTTTGATATTTCGGTTTTGTTTTTGCAATTTGAGTACGAGTAACAATTACTAATTCCATGTGCGTAATTATTAAAACAATTAAATTTGTCAACCTTATTTCTGTTCTGTTTCATGCTGCGTGCGCTTTTGGTTAAATGAAAACAAAAACAAAAAAAAAAAACTTAAACGTATTTAAACAACGATTTTTACACAACAATAATATTTATGAATGGCGCTCATTTCGCGGATATTTGCATTTAACTCACTACCAAAATAATTTTGTAATTAACAAAAAAACTGCTGAATTTCTAAAATCCCATTGTTGTCATCATTTTGCGATTGTTTGCTAAGATCTCAAGTGAGTTACACATACAGTGAAACGGTCGAGAAGAAACAAGTGTAAGTACGTTTTAGCAGATGAATTCTGTTTTTATTAGACTCTTCAACTCTTCAAGCCGTAAGGCTGCACCGCTGTCTGCCTTTGAGTGCCTTTTTCTTCTTTTTGTTTAGTTGGCTTCCAGCTCTCAAAAAAAGTTTGATAATTTTCTACGTAGTTAGCTTTTAATATTCGAGCATTGAGTTAGAGAACGATAAATATTCGGGCGAAACTGAACTAAATAATTTCAACTTCACAGACTATAAAAAATATTTTGTTTTTAAGTCGATAAATGCGAATTTCGATGTCCCTTTTTAATTAAAAAAAGATAGGGTTTGAGAGATGTTATAGTTAATACAGTTTAACTAAGAAAATTCGTGAAGATTAGTGAAGTAAAGAGGAAACCCGTTTTTGAGGACGATACTGCGTCAGAAAGAGCTCCCAACTACAAAAACTATTATACGCCAGATTTATGGATCAGTTTTCTGGGGCAGCTATACATCCATCACTTAGCAGCATTTACGTACCAAACTATTTGGAAAGTGGTTGATAAAAAAGTATTTCCATGTTTGGGAATAAGCTTATCACTTTTGAAGCTGACTTTTGAAACTGAAATCGAGCAAAAACAGGATTGACTCCACGAAAGGTGATGCTGTGTGTTTGGTGCGAATGGAAGCAATTTGCCCATTATAAAGTGATACTGTCTGGTCAAACGATTACTACTGTCATAAATTGAGGAGATGACAGCAATCGATTAAACAATTGACTATAACTAAAAACAGAAAATGTGTTGTGTTCGATCACACAAACACAAAGTTTATTGACTCGGCAAGGATTATTAT